CAGGTACCCCACACCTCTGGTTGTCGGCCAGCGATCTCAGGCAAACCACACCAGCACTGAAATCTGATGAAATGCTTCTTATGGCAGTTTTGGTTTTTCGCTTGGTTTTCCCCTTGTAATGGTTGTGCCAAATGAGATGATTGATGGTTTTCTGACAAGGAAGAGCTGTTGCTTTTACACTGCCCTTTTTCTAGGGCATGAATGCAGTGCAGGGAGAGGTGGCAGCCACAAGACTTCACGTTTTCCACAGGCCAAGTTGATTGGGAAATAACTGAGACAAATGCCAGAAATTTTGCAATAAGATTGTACTTTTAAGAGAAAAAAAAACAGAAAATGGCTTATTCCAGTTAGTAAGTCTCAGCATTTTTTTGCAGAAGTCTTTATAGGCCTTCAGGCAGAACACAGGAAAATTTAAAATCACAAATAACCTATTGCAGAGAAAGCCAAATACACCCTTAGGCATATGAACTGTATCAACTCTGCTTTCCATTGTGCAGTGCCTTCTATCACAAGACTTTGTGAATAAAATGTCTATAGTCTTCTGTGACATTAGGATCGCTGTCCTTGTTTAAGAGCTGAACAGTACCGAGGCATGGAGACATCTCTGAACACCTAACCTTTTGTGGGGAGAGGGGGCTGAGGGTGCTTTCCCAGTGTGCTGCCTTGCTGTCCCAGCCCTCAGCCTCACCATTCCCCTTCCTTATCTCTTTGGACACATCTAATTTCCAACCATTAACAAGGCACCTGCTTCATAGAATCATAGAACCATAGAATCATAAAATCACAAAATCGTAGAATAGTTTCAGTTGTAAAGGACCTTACAGATCCCCTAGTTCCAACCCCCCTGCCATGGGCCGGGACACCTTCCACTAGACCAGGTTGCTCAACATTTAAACATCTTTGTTTAAATGCCATAACACACTGGGGTGAACACATGTGTTAGACCACGCCGGGGGGGGGGGCAGCCACAGCTTCTCTGGGCAACCTGTGCCAGGGCCTCACCACCCTCATAGTGAAGAATTTCTTTCTTATATCTAAGACAGAATTATCAAAACTTACATCTTACATTTGTTATATCGAAGAAAGAAGTATCAAACACTGCTGTTGAACTAGGGGACTGCCATGGTCCCTCCCGCCCTCCAGGTCCAGGAGCCTTTCACTCAAGTCCAGTGCAATGCTCAGTATCCCCGAGGTCTCTCCCGATCTCTGACTCTTTGCTCACTGCTGCCAGGACAGAGCTTACCCAGAAGACGGGTGGTGTCAAGGCGACATTTGGGACCTCCAGAGGGAGAAGGCATCCAGAGGCTGCTGTCTGCAGAGTGCTCTGAGATGCAGGCGAGAGTCTCCCTTGCAAATGCGATAGTCATGGCAACAGTGCTCCCGCTTCTCCCGGAGATCAGTAATTCAGCCTTAGGCGTAATTCCATGTATTCAGTTTGTGATGCAGTATTGCTCACCCAGCAATATGCTCAAAACTTCTGACAGAGAGGATTGTAAGAAACGTGAAACTATAACAAAAAAGCCTTAATATTTTCTAGTTTTTAGTAGTCTTTAGTACTGTAACTTGTATTTCTGCATGCATAGTGATCTAACGATGTAACTGTTACACTAATCCCTGTTTTCTCATTAAGGAATGTAGTGGAAGGACATGGGCACAAGCTATCACTTAGTCATTAGACAAAATAATTAAGTGAAACAAAAGTCGTCTTGGTTCTCAGCAAATAATTGGGATATCTGTGGGATAAAAGAGACTCCTAAATAATTCTACTCCAGACAGCTCGGCCTTGGGAGGGCAAATGCGCCAAGCTACAGAGATAAGGAGGCACCCAGAGAGCAACAAGACTGGAGCCAAACAACCTGAAGGACATGGTGGACGTGATCCTAGAACTGAGTTTGCGCAGAGACAAATGTCAATCAGTGAACAGCGTGATGAAGAGGATGTGCCTTCATCTTGGGACTCCCGAAGACCACCCCCACCCAAAGATGCTAACGGACATAAATGAAAGATATTTACATATGGCAATTAGTTCCTAGAAATATAATTAATATTTACATGTATGATTGTATTTAACCTGAAGCAACAGGGTGTCTGG